TTGAATAGGTGGCAGGGATGGCAAGGGCTGGTGACGGGCTGGGGTCGGATAGGTCCGACGTGCCTAACAAGAGTGAGGCTTGACTCTTAGAGGGTGCTGGGTGAGTGGTACAGGGTCTGCTTCTAGGTCTGAGACCACACTTGAGGAAGAACAGCACACACGTGGGTCACTTAACTGCACAGATTTTTCTTTAGTAACTTGTCTGTCCATAGTCTTTGTCATTAGGTCTTCCTACCGGGGTTTTACTCTCTGTCCTCGAAGATTTGTTAACTGTCTACTTCTCAGAATAAGGGAGATGGTTTTAGTCTGTATGGCTTATTTCTTTAGCAAATCTTAAAAATGCTTATTGTATGAGCATGCACATGTGCTTATGCCAAGGTGCAGGTGTGGAGGTCAAAGGGCAAAACGTGAGACCAATCCCTTCTTAATAAAGCTGGATCTGCAACCATCACTGCTTCTCCTCACGACTGGTGGAGCTCACCGCGTAGACCAGGTTGGCCCCTAAGTCACAGACATCTGCTCGCCTCTGGCTCCAGAGTGCCGGGGTTAATTTAAAGGTGTGTGCCTTCTGATCTGTTTGTTTGAGACAGGCTCTCTATACACAGCCCTGGCTGTTCTCGAACTCACTATGTAGAGAAGGCTGGTGGTGGTTTTTTTTTTTACTCTTTTGCCCTTTGGATGGCCCGCCACCCAGTTCTCAAATAAGTAATACACACAGAGCCTCATTATTTCTTTTCTTTTTTTTTTTTTAAAGATTTATTTATTTATTTATTATGTACACGGTATTCAGCCTCCATGTATGCCCGCACACCAGAAGAGGGCACCAGATCTCATTACAGATGGTTGTGAGCCACCATGTGGTTACTGGGAATTGAACTCAGGACCTCTGAAAGAACAGTCTTAACCTCTGAGCCATCTCTCCAGCCCTTCTTTTTTTTTTTAAAAAAATATTTATTTATTTATTATGTATACAATATTCTGTATGTGTATAGGCCTGCAGGCCAGAAGAGGGTACCAGACCTCATTTCAGATGGTTGTGAGCCACCATGTGGTTGCTGGGAATTGAACTCAGGACCTTCGGAAGAGCAGGCAATGCTCTTAACCACTGAGCCATCTCTCCAGCCCCCTCATTATTTCTTATGTATGCCTTCGCTTGGCTTATTTCTGAGCAGCTTTCCTTAAATTATCCCATCTATCTTTTGCCTCTGGGCTTTTATCTGCTGCTGTTCTGTATACCTTTCTTTCCTTCTTGCTCCATGGCTTGCTGTGTGGCTGGGTGACTGGCCTCTGATGTCCTCTTCTCCTTCTTTTCTTGCTTCTCTTCCTCTCCTCCCAGATTTCTCCTTCTATTTATTCTCTCTGCCTGGACGTCCCCCCAGCCCCCATCCTTTTTTCTGCCTCACTATTGGCCACTCAGCTCTTTGTTAGACCAATCAGGTGTTTTAGACAGGTAAAGAATCCCAGCTTCACAGAGTTAAACTAATGCAACATAAAAGAATGGAACACGTCTACGCATCATTAAAACAAATGTTCCACAGCATAAACAAATGTAACACATCTTAAAATAATATTCTACAGCAGGCTGGCCTCCAACACACAGAAATCTACCTGCCTCTGCCTCTGGAGTGCTGGGATTAAAGGTGACTGGCACCATACACAACCCTGATTTTTTTTTAAGACAGTATTTTTATGTATGACTTGGGGACTCTTGTAAAGAAATAAAGACCCAAAGAAATAGTTCACTGCTCATTACTGCCGATTGTAATCATGAAAGTTATGATACAATATAGCATAATCTTAAATGTTAAAATCCTGAAAGATCAAATTCTGTAAAAAAATCTAGAGTCCTCCAAATCAAACCAGAATCATAAAAGATTAAAATCCCAAATGTTGAAACTGTAAAAGCCCAAATTCTGAAAACCCCAGCTATTTCGTGCATTTGTTGGTCTGTTCCGTCTGTCCCTGTCCGTGTTTCTCTGTGTATATGCATGTCTCTCTGTCTCTCTATCTGTTTCTATTCATGTGTGTACATGTCTCTGTGTGTCTGCCATCTCTGTCTTTTCCTTCTTCCCTTCCTTCATTCCCCACTCCATCTCCCCTCTTCTCTCTCTCTCTTTCTTTTTGGCTATTCAAGACAGGTTTTCTCTGTGTAGCCTCACTCTGTAGACCAGGTTGGACTCACACTCAGAGATCCACCTCCTAAGTGCTGGGATTAAAGGTGTGTACCATGACTACCCAGCATTTTTTTTTTTTTAAAGTCGGGGTCTCTCAATATAGTCCTGGCTGTCCTGGAACTCACCGTGTACACCAGGCTGACCTTGAACTCACAGAGATTCGCCCGCCCATCTCTGCCTTCCAAGTGCTGGGATTAAAGTTCTCTGCCTTCCAAGTGCTGGGATTAAAGGCGTAAGCCACCACTGCCTGGTCTCTGTCTCTCTTTCTGTCTCTGTTTCTCTCTCTGCCTCTCTCTGTGTGTAGGGGCTGTATAAAGAGAAGAAAGCCAAATTCCAGAGAAGAATTAGCTACACAATTCAACAATAATAAAAACGTTTAGTTCAAAAATGTCATTTGTCTATGTCCCTAGTTGGTAAAATCCTAGGAGCTGTTAATGCATTCAACTTGAACGAACTGTTTAGAAGGCAGTGAGAACACTGGCAGATGTTGAGACTTGTGGTGGCCGAGGGACAGACAGCGGCGGTGCTCTTCCACAGCTGTGTGGGTTGCATCAAATCGATGGTTTCACATGTGTGCATCCCGAAGAAGTTTGTATACACAGTGACCAAAGACAAGATGGGAGACCCAGAATATCAGATCATAGAAGAATTTCATGAGTGGAAACGAATGCCAATGTATTCTCTACAGACACCAATCCCCTAAAACAAAAGAGCAGCTATCTTGACTTTAAATATCTTTATTAATATTAAGACTAAAATATCTTTGAGATTATGAGTTTGGCCAGCTCTCAATGGATTCCCTCTATGTAATCCATAGTCTACCACTAAAAGTACACTTTGGTATTTTAAAAAAATCATTCTTGGTTTTATTTTTTTCAAAAGATTGCATTTCTTTGGCCCTCTCTGGCTTCCCTCCCCCATTTTTTACATTTCTATGATTTTGTTAGCTGATTAAAAAGTGTTTTTCCATACTATATATCTTACTCTTGCGTTATTTCCAAGGCTGGTAAAGTTACTTTGAGGTGTGAAGGCTGGGAGAGAATTGTAATTCTTGTTATCCTTTTTACAAATTTGACTTCAGGCAAGTGAATTATCACAGCGTGTTGACTTTGTGCGAAAGCATTATGCAGAAATAATTAACGAAAAATGTTGAAATATCCTAAAAAAATCCAAAACGATGTCCTTTTTCTACATTTGTGGAAGACAGAATTTCTCAAGGTCTCAACTCTCTGGTAAATTGTGATTCTAATGGTGTTTTTTGATGATGTATTCAAAATGTTAGGCTGTTACCGTATCTCAAGTGACTACAGGCACACAGTTGGGTGCACACAATACCCAGCATAGTGGTGTGTGTGCACACACACACAATACCCAGCATAGTGGTGTGTGTGTGTCTAACCTTGTGACACACACACAATACCCAACATAGTAGTGTCTGTGTATCCAGCCTCTTGACACACACACCATACCCAACACAGTGGTGTGCGTATATCCAGCCTCTTGACACACACACCATACCCAACATAGCGGTACGTGTGTGTATCCAGCCTCGTGACACACACGCACCATACCCAGCATAGTGTGTGTGTGTCCAGCCTCTTGACACAGCTCCTCTGTGAATATGGTTCACCTGCTCAGAGCTGTATACTCACCCAACTGTTAGTGTATCTCAGTGTTCGTGGTTGCTAAGATATGTGCTATTATTGTTGCTGATTTTATTACAGAAAACAGTCCAGGAAGTGTTCTATTATATTTTTTGTTTCTGAAACAAATTCCTTTTTAAAATGCAGAGCTCTGGACTGGAGTAATGGCCCAGTGGTTAAGTGTAACACGAGGGCTGGCTTGTTGGGGTTTCTGTCCCACCCGGTACCCCACAACTGGCAATTCCCCAAGAGAAAATCACACACAGGACTCCATAACATTATAAACTGATTGGCCCTTAGCTCTGGCTACTTATTAGTTCTTATGACTTATCTTAACCCATTATTCTGATCTATGTTAGCCACATGGGTTCAGTACCTTTCTCAGTGTGACAGCTTACATGTTGCCTCTTCGGTGGTCTGCACAGGAATGGCAGAGGAATTTCCCTGCTTCCCAGAATTCTCCTGTTCTCATTGCTCCACCCCTACTTCCTGTCTGGCTTTTCCACCTATACTGCCTGCCTGGCCAATCAGCATTTTATTAAAATATGATTGACAGAATACAGACAATTCTCCCGCATCAGTTAAGAGCACTTGCTGCTCTTCTAGAGGACGAGTTTCGCTCTCAGCACGCATGTCACAAGGCTCACAACCATCTATCACTCCAGCTCCAGGGGCTCTCATGTCCAGGGGCCTCCGAGGGAACCTGTAGTCATACACATACACACATGCAGGCGCACATACCTATACATAGTTAAAAATAGCAACTAATAAAATCTTTAAAATAAAATAAAATGCAGGGCTAGGTATGTAGCTTAGTGGTAGACAGTATGGAGAGCCAGAGCAAGGCCCTGGATTTTAATCTAAATACCTCAAAACTAAGATAAAATTATAAAAGATATTTTAATTTTTTAAAGATTTATTTATTTATTACACATACAATGTTCCTCCTGAGTAAACACCTCCTTGCTAAAAGAAGGCACCAGACCTCATTACAGATGGTTGTGAGCCACCATGTGGTTGCTGGGAATTGAACACATGACCTCTGGAAGAGCAGCCAGTGGCTCTTGACCTCTGAACCATCTCTCCAGCCCCTGTAAAAGATACTTTTTAAAAATTAATTTTAATATTAACATTTAAATTTAAAAATGTGATTTAAATTTTTAATTAAAAATATTATGCTTGTTTATGTGCATGGGCATGTACAGTTCATGACGAAGAGGGGTGGCGGCCAGGAGCCCACTTTGCAGAGTCCGTTCCCTCCACCTGTGTGTCCCAAGGATGGGATTCGGGTCACCAGCCTGGCTTAGCACTTTCAGCCACTGAGCCAGCAACCATGCACCTGGGGAAGAGCACACCACTAGATTAGCCAATACCAAATGGCCAGCCCTGAAGACATACATGCACACATACCGTTCTATGGACTGAGCAGGTGGCATTCATACGTTTAGGAATATATAACAACAGTTAAAGAAACGAAGGCCATGAATTTGAAGGAAAATGGGGGTGTTACATGGGAAGGGTTGAAGGGAAGAAAGGCAAGGGGGAAATGGTGTAATTATATTATAAGATAAAATTTAAAAATTATTAAAAACAAAACAAAGAGCCCTTGTCGCCCAGTGGTAGAAGGCTTACCTAGTATATATAAAGTTGAGTTCAATCTTTAGCACTGTAAAATATAAAACAAAGCAAAAACTGCTTTATTTCTTTTTTTTTCCCTCTAGAACTTTAGCTTTGGGATTTTTTTGAGCATTCAGGATTTTGGACTTGAAAACTTTTGTTCTTTTGCATTTTTTTTTGAGACAAGTTTTCTCTGTTACGCAATTATGGCAGAACTTGATCTCACCACATAGACCAGGCTAACCTTGGACTTACAGAGACCCACCTGCCTCTGGAGAACTGGTATTAGAGGAATGTGCCACCATGCCCAGCTTGCTTATAATTTCAGCCTTTGAGATTGCTGTTTTTGGGACAATTTCTTTGTGGATTGTGGCCCAAGCCATAATTTCTGTACTGTATTGATAAAGAATAATTAGTTAAGGCAGCAACTACACCGTGTGTGGAGTCTGGAAAGATGGGCTTGCCTAGCCAAGGTCGCGGAATTCTTTTGCTTTTGACTTCTCATCTTTGCGGGTGAGGATGGGTCATCACCCCAGCATGGGAGGGATTTGATAGGAGAGGTCTTACCTTTTGCTCCCAATAAAAAGCACACAAAGTTCAAAGTGACCTTTTGGTACCTGCTGTTCTTTGAATATCATTTGGCTTAAATAGTCAAAATGCCAGAAGAGAATATTTTAATCTCTTTGGGAGAGAGAGAAGAAAAAGTGAAAGGGAGGGAGAGAAGAAGAGAGAGAGAAAGAGGATGGATATGGGTTAAGTAGTGGTCTGATTTGGCAGATCCAGTGAGGAAGGCAAGCAGACGTGATGAGATTTAATATAGGTAAATAGAAGGTAATACCCCTGAGCAGAAGCGATGACCTGAAAACACATGAAAGGGAAGAACGCTATTCAGAAGCCGCAGTGCAGGAAAGAGCAAGGGAACAAGGGTACTTCCTCACTGAAGCTCTGAGTCTCTCCCGTGACTGCTACAAAGAAGGCTGCTGTCGTCTGGGACTGTGTATGTAAAGGGTCCCTTGGAAAGTAGAAATGGCAGGCCCCGTGCCTGGCAGTGATGTTTGCTCTGAAATGCTACTGCAGCCTTGCAGAAAGGAGGGCTGTAAAAAGGACATTAAAAAAACAAAACAAAACAGTGCTGAACATTGAAAACAGAATATCCGGAATGCTGCCTCAGTGACTGGTTAGAGCAGCAACCCCTCAATAAGACCTCATTGTTGGTTGGAGGAGTCACACCCAATGGGGCTCGTTTTTCTACATCAGGGTTTAAAGTTGACCCTGGTTTGATATGGTTTATGCTGATGTATTGGGACCAACCTCTATCTAAAGGGAGAGGTATGTGAAATCACAGCAATACCAAGCCATAAATGCATAGTTTTCTATAATACATATCTGGTGATAAAGTCAAATGTGTAGACTAGTCTCAATGAGAGATTAGCCACAATGATATATACTGTATAGTGTGGCAAAGCTACATGACATATTGCAGTAAAGATACAACAGTGAAGCTACATGTGGCTCTCGCAATGCCTGATTGTTCACCCTTCTTATGGTGGCCAGGGATGATAAAATGCTTATGTGATGAGATGAAGGAAAACGACTCATGGGGACACGGATTGGAGCATACCTGAAAGTTATCCCTGGAACACTGAAACAGTCTGCTGAATGACAGCCGGAAAGTGACTAAGGAGAGGGTAGCATATACAGTGCGGATACACTGGACGAAGAGGTGACTTATGCTCTGGACAGAACACTGCAGGACAAGCTCAGTAAATAAAATAAAGAAAGCTGTGGGAATTGCTACCCCAAGTTATATTTCCCTGCCCCCATTTGAGGTGCTTATCTGCAGAGAATCATAACTTCCCTCTGCTCCTGGAGTTGGATGAGGAAGTTTGAGTGCACGTGATTATTCCTTGATCCCTGCTGGGGTCAGGTGACAGTCCCTACTGGGGACAGGTGAAGGTTGAATGCACATGATCAGTCCTTGACCCCTACTGTGGTCAGGTGAGAGTCCCTCCTTGGGTCAGGTGACAGTCCCTTCGCAGCCCCCTCCCCATTTGGTGCCATAGTATAAAAGCTAGCCCCAGCAGAACAATAATCGAGCTGCTGTTTCACCTAAACCTCGTGCTCTGTGGATTTCATTCAACCTGGACACCCTCCGCCGAGACTCGTGGTTCCAGACCGTGTTGGTGCGGTAGAAAGCTTAGATAGAAAAGACAATGAATTTACTCAGTCTTCAATATAAGGAAGATTTTATTCAAGTCATTTTTTTTTGCAAAAAAAAAATGATTTAGCGTAATGTTACATTTCAACACTCTACCAAAAAGGAGACGTCTACAAGAGTGGGGTTGTGGGAGTCTGAGCAGAACAAGACATTAGCTCGGAGACAGGGAGTTTGTTCTTCCACAGGCTTTACCACCTGAAAGTGAGGAGTTCTGTATGGCATCTCAAGCAAAGGACAACTCGCCAAAATAATGAAATGAAAACTCACTTGTAGACTTCTATACAGGAGACTTAATCCTAAGAGACACGTCAGAGCCGTTGGACCTGCCCACCACAGGCCCTGGATTCTGAATTCCTACCTAGGATTCTGGCTTCAGTTATTAAACTTTCTGGACATTAGGTATCCTCCTCTTTCTCTTCTTCCAACTTCTCTGCTGAGTTTTTCTTCTCTGCCTCCTCTCCGTCATCTCCTCCTCTACCACCACCTCCATTTTCTTCTCCTCTTCTTCTCCTCTTCTCTATCTCCTCCATCTTGTCCTCCATCTCCTCCTCCCTTGGCTCCTCCTCCATCTTGTCTTTCTCTACCTCCTCTTCTCCCTCCTCCTCCATCTCCTCTGCCCCATCTCCTTTCTCCTCTTCTTCCTCTCTTCCTTTCTTTTAGCCTCTACCACTTTCTTCTCTTCCTCCTCATCTCCCATTAACCTCACCTTCCTGTTGCCTGATCCGCTTCTCCTTCTTCTGAACACCTGTTTCCTTAGGTCCATCCTTGAGGCTCAGTGCCAGTAAAGTCAATTCTGGGTATGACCCAAGAATCTAGAGGTTCAGCTGGTATCTCACATGATCCAGATGTGTCACAGCTACATGTTGAGAAATTCCAAACCAAGAATTGTGGCTCACATTATGGGAGATACCTGACCCCAGTCTGGCTAGCCTGGAGGAATCCAGACAGGTCCTGCAGTGTGTGTGAAGAATCTGGAGTGGAGCTTTACGTCTTCTGGCCTCCATTCACTTCACATTTCTTGCTTGTACTTCAGGGAGTGCTCTTCTTCCAGGTCAGGGGTGTGACAAGAGACCCAGGCCAATTAGAGGACTGGATCTCCTTAGCCACACACAGTGATTGTTTGGGAAGATGGCTCACTGTGCTCAGAGTATGTCCTGGGCCTTGTTCAGGACTTGAGTCTGAGGGTCTGGTTGCTGGCTGCCAAGAATGGGGTTATTTCTTTAAGAAGAGGCCAGAGGATGGAAGGTGTGGAAGCCAGCTCTGATGGGATTGTTTAAATCACAGTACAGCCATATTGCTAAAGCCAGTCATATCCACTTTTGTATTTTGTTAGGTTTGAATGGGGGGAAAACTTTCCACCTTTTGCTCAAAGCAGCTTGAACGAGTTTTCTGTTTCTTGTCACTGCAAAACTCTGCCATCATGTGACAAAGCATCTCATGGCGATGCCACTGAGCCACTGCTTTGGGAAGACATGCATAAGGGCCACATGTTTGAGAAGAACACAAAGTAATTAAACTTCAATTTAGATTAGAAGAAGCTATTATGGAGTGTCCTGGGGAGGGGGCAACAACTAATAATTTCTATTATCTGCTGACCATTGACATATTAGCTTAGGGATTTCTATTCATCATTTCTTACCTTTTTAGGTGCACATGGTAAATATCTACATTTAAAATTGAGGAGGTTAAAAAAAAAGGAAAGATGCGGAGGTTGACGCACAGAGAGATCAAGGCCCTCGTCTAGGGTCGTACCGCAGGTAGGACCCGCAATGAGACATCTCCCCTCTATATCACCAGCTCACTTGGGCATCTCCAAGATCTCATTTCATGGGCCTTCTCAGCTCCTCGTTCTTCCACTGCAGACCACAGTGTGCTCAGATTGCAATCTGCCAGCTTCCTCCTGCCCAGAAACTGACATGGAAGCTCCCAAACTGTTCTGCATCAACATTGACTTCTTTTCTTCTTGAAACTGGCTTAATCTTCTTGGTGAGTGAATAAAAACTTGGCTCGCATCCCCTCAGGGAGCCCTCAAGTTCTCTTCAGCCTTCCTCAGAGCCAGCTGAGACTTCCCGAGGTCGCTGTTCAGGTCTGGGAAAGCATTGCTCCAAACCGGCTCAGTCTTGATTCATTTCTCCAAACGCCCTGCTCTGCCTTGCAAAGGAACACCAACTCATCCACACTCGCTCACTGCCGGGCGGTGTTCTATTTTCTCCTGCTCCTAACCCTTGGCCAGTCACAGCTTTGTCCATCTCCCTGCCCCCCCTGCCTCATTTTCAGGCTGTCTTCATTGGCTTCTGGATGGCAGCCTACGTGGCTATAGGAACTGGGGTGTGATTCAGTCCATTTGGGGATGCAACATGCAGGCATAGATACTGCATGTTGGTATCTATGCAGGCCCACCCAAGTCCTTTTGATTCTTCATGGTCTTCCTTCCTTCCTTCCTTCCTTCCTTCCTTCCTTTCGTTCTTCCCTCCCTCCCTTCTTTTTTTTTTTTCTTCCTCTTCTCCTTCTGTTTTATTTTGTTTTTCTAGACAGGGTTTCTTTGTATGGCCCTGGTTGTCCTGAAACTCTCTATATAGAGCAGGCTGGCCTCGAATGTCCACCTGCCTCTGCCTCCAGAGTGCTGGGATTAAGGGTGCACACCTTAATCCTAAAGAATAATTGGGATGTTGCGATCACTGAGTTGAAAACATGTGCCAAATAACATGCTAAACTTACAATATTGCTATTGTAATTGCTTAAATCCTTCCACAGATGGTTAATTTAACGAGACCCGTGAACGGTCTGATCCTTTTGTATTTAGCAAAACAGACCACTAACACTTAAACCTTAATGCCGGGGATTCTGGGACTTCCGGATTATTTGCATTAACACGGCTCTGGTTTTCTCCATGCTTCACCCACCCTCCAAAAAAGGATTCCCCCCGCAGGAGAGGAGGGTCTCGGAGGGAGGAATCCTGGAGGCTCTGAGGATTTTTATAGCTTTTCTCCTGTCAGCTATCAACTGAATTTTATTGGCATTCTGAGTGAGAAAGAACATTTTGGGCAGCGAAGGGCCGACTGGCACTCTGTCAGGCATTAGCATTCCAGTGCGCCACCTAATAAATGCTAGTTTGGTAACAGCCAAGAGCAAACAGCAAACGCACTCCAACATTTCCAAACCCTCCTCGGAGGGCGGTTACTGTTCCTGGTTGGAAATTTCTAATTATGCTAAGGGAACAGGGAGTGTCTGGGGGCAGGGTGTGTGTCGGGAGGAGGGGGAGTGAGGGGGGGCAGGCTGTAGATGCGCTCTCTCCATAGCAATGCTGGGCTCCTGAGTTGTGAGCTACGAGCTTCTAGCAAAATGCTGAGGCTAAAGAACTCCATAAACATTTGCTAATGAGCTGTCATGTCTCGCTCACGGAGGCTAGAGATTTTATATCCTCTACCTTGTGAAAAGCCTGAGGTGGTGCTTCATCCAAAGCCGTGAGACCGCTACGCACTCAGAAAGCATTATCGCTGTTGACGAAAGGGCAAACTACTTCCCGTCAGATCCAAACAACCAACAATGGCTACAGCTACATCCTCTTGGCTCTTTGCCTCTGTTGCCTTTGGAGAGACGGATTCGTTCAGTGTTGGGGTTAATTACTTGTCCTCCCATCTCAGGCGCTGGGGCCTGTTCAGGTCACTGAGCAGTTGTGGGGGCCGCTGGGAGGTTCCCTTGGGCTTCCGCTAGGGACTCAGGCTGCTGGCAGCACAGTTAGACTTTTAAGGAAGGGAAAACTTCGTGAATAAGCTGAGGAGAGAGGAACAAGGGCAGGCCCCAGAATCGGGCACCCAGAGTCAGGGAGGCTGTGGTGCGAAGCAGATGAAGTGGAGGTGGAAGAGGCGGAGTGAT